ACATGTGCAAACCTTTTTTGCTAGCTTGCTTGGGTGTTATACTGTGATATCATATGTCTGGACTATGATGGAAACGTTTTGGATGCCAGCGTCTTTGCTCTGTTAGCAGCATTAAAGAATGGTAAGTCTTCTCTAGAGCAAGAGACACACTCTGAGTAGCATTGCTTGGAGAAATACGTTAGTTTTGAGGGATGATGAATCAGTAACTGGTTCACAGTTCCTTAAGAGTGAGACTGCTTTTTTCCTGTAATTTGAATGCTAAATTACTAAAACTCAAATACAAAGTGGAAGTGATGGTATGGATGCCATAGATGTGTAACATCTGGGGAGTGGGATCTTTATGTATGTATATTATTGCTCTCTTGTAAGACTAATAGCTATTCTGCCATTTGTTCCTCTGTTGGAGATCTGAATCTTTCAGCAGTGGTTATAAACGATTTTAATGTCTACATCAGTGTCTTACTGCGTTCTCGTGTTTTGTGTAGGCAGAATGAGTCGTTGGGGGCTTTGCTTATTTGTCATAACAGAATATTCCTAGCTTAATGCATTGTAGATTGAAAAAACTGTTTTCATGCATACAACATATGGATTGATTGTTCAGAAGCAGGTGGGTTATAAATGCACATAGGAGAAGGTATAAAGGGAAGCCTAACAGCAAGGCCACCGTTCCTAACTGAATGGCTTGCCTTTGAATTCCTATTCCTACTTTGCCCTTGATTTTCTTGTCTCAAACACTGTATGGGTTGTCAGAGCAAGAGTTATTTGAAGACGAGGTTGCACTGTTTCTATGGGTATATGAAATTCATCAGATGGGACTATGTTCCTGTTTTTTGTATGTCCAGTAGGCTTTTTGGGGAAAAAATACTTTTTGTTAAATATGACTCTAAAGTATTGTAATTGTATGGCATTTTGCTTCTGTGTAAGGAAGAATGTTACCTTGAGGAGAGAAATTAAATACTTCCTTGAACAGGTAGTTCTAAGCTAAATACTTTCCTCGGATTCACTATTTTTTTTGTACAGTACATCAGTAATGTAGCCAAAACTCTATTGGGATCCATTTTCAGTGGCTTAAAATAAGACCTTAAATACTTCAGTAGTCTTGGACATGTCTAGGCCTAAAACCAGCAAATGTTTAATGTTATACCATTGTCATTTTTTACCTTTTCAGTACAATTGCCATCAGTTACTATAAATGAAGAAACTGGTTTATCAGAAGTTAATTTAAAACAGAAGAATCCTTTGATTATCACAAAGCATCCAGTTGCCACATCATTTGCTGTATTTGATGAGTAAGTTCCTGTTTTGTACTTATGAAAACAACTCCATGTGTAAAAGAAGTGAAAGACAGAGGATGCTACCAGTGATGTTTCTGCACCACTTACGCACTTCTGCTAATGAAGAGCGTGCAGTCTCAGGCAGTGTTGTTTCACTTTATCTTAAATACGTGGCCTCTCTTATTTAACTGACCTGTAGTTCTGTGACATGAATGACTGTGCAGAACAAAACGCAGTCTGTCCAACTTCTTCCTGTGACTTAAAGCAGAACTGGTTCCCAACCTAAAAGATATGCTTAAAAGTACAGGGATAGCTATTGTTTTGGTTTTGCAGTATCTTTGAGACAAAATGGATGTTACCAATGCAGGTAATGTTTTAGAAGCCTCTGTAAATAACAGATATCAAAGATGGTAGTTTCTGAACAGCTTATACCAAGGAATTAGTAAACAGAGGAAGTAAGAAGTAATGGTCCAGTTAGAGCAATGGAACCTCTGGATCACTGAAAATATAATTACCCAAGATGAAGTATGACCAGCACTCTTAAGTAATTGTTCATGTAGGTAAAGAATTGGATTATGAGAATTCAAAATAATTACATCTGATAACTTGGCTCCTCACATGAAATTGTTTACTGGCTCTTCATTAGTCCAAGTATGCTAAGTGTGTGTTCTGCTGTTGTTTATAAGAAATTCAGTTACTTATGGTGGTATCCATTTGAAAAGTATAAAATGACAAATAAGATGGTGCTCGCTGTGCTATGAATCTGATTTAAGATTTAGGTCAGGGGTTCATGGCACATTAATCTGGATTTGCAGAAATTATTAATAGGCCCTTTCATTCAAATATGAGATTGGGTTGGGGGAGCACTAAACTCAGATGTTGACCAAGTGATTACCAAAATGAATAAAATAAGAAAGTTATCAGTACTTCTGTTAATTGCTTTAATACCAGTTCTCATGGGGCTGAAGTTTGATGTAGACTGAGAGTTTGGATGGCACGATAGGCACAGTTGTCAGTAGGCTGTTATTTGCACACAAATCACACGTAGTTACCAATAGCCAAAGAAGCTGCCTTTGGAAGAAAGCTCTGTGACAGTCTGTTGGGCTTTGTTCTCTTTGCTGAAATGAAGTGTTCCATTGAACAACTTGTCTCCCTTCAACTCCTAAAACTAAATACTGAGGGAGTGTGCCTGTGTCTGCCTGTGTTGTGGTTTGTTTTTTTTTTTTACAAATTCTTGTTTATTAGTTTTTCTACAGCTGTTGACATAGCCCTCTAAATAATATGTTTTACATACTGTGACTTCCAGAGATGTTTTTCTTCTGCATAAAAGCCCTCCTTGAATAAATGAGGTTGGGTTGCTGGGTAGTGTGGGCACGGTGAGAAGCGCTGGTGCAGAGCACTGTGCAGCTTCACAGATGGCTCCTGTGGAGTCAACCTGTATGTAAATACCGAGTCTGATGTGCTGAACTCCCCATGTGTGCGAGGTGCCTCTGTCGTGCCAAGGGCTGCTGTTGCACGGTGCGTGTGGGTAGAATAAAGCAGTGTTTGAGGAGCGTAACTAGGGATGGACGTTTTCAGTACGCTGCTGCTACTAAATGGCAATCTGAAACTATTGGTGCAGTTGTCAATTACCCAGAAAACCCAGAATTATGCATTGCATATGAGTTCAAACGGAAAAATTCTGTTACTCTTCCACCTGTTTTGTGTAATCAGCTCCTCTAGCCTTGCTACTGACTTCCCCCCTGCAAACTTGTCATAAACACCACTGAGCATAGGTGTAGTGTACTCCAGCTGCTAAACTGAGTTTGACTACATCAATACTCATTGTTAGTTTAACACAAAAACTTGAGCTAAAGTCTTCTCTGTCATGATACCGGCACTTCAGACAAATGTTTGTAATGGTAGTGATTTTTATTTTAAAGAAACTAAGGCTGAATGGTGGCTGTTTGGCTTTTTTAAATTTAAAGTTTTTCTTGTGCAAAGTTGGCTTATAGTTCAGATCCTCTTTTTTTTTTTTTTTCTTTTCCCATTAGTTTGCTCTATTTTTAACTTATTAATTGGTTCAAAAATAATAATATTTAATCTCTTTTAATGATCTACATCATGTGATGTATGACAGCTTATTTTGGCTGCCTTAAGGAACCCAGTAAATGCATTTCTGAACTACTCCTAGTCAGAGTAGTGTTAGAGTTCTTTGACAAGACACCGAGAACTACTTTAGTGAATTTGCCATTGGAAATTAGTTTTGCCTTAAGTTCTAGTAGAGATTGGTGTGGCCTACACCTAAAACCAATGTCATTATCTTTGTGTAACTCTGGAGTAAGTGACTGCATACTGCAAATGGCAGTTTAATGGCATTTTCCCTGCAATATATGGGTGTCACAAATCTATGACACTTAAACACAAAGCTGTATTTTCAACAGCTAGTGTTTAACAGACACACACATTTAATATGTGGAATCTCCCACTTTTTTTTAATTGGTGCATTTTGCTAAGTAGATAAGCCTGAGCACTAAATCCACCTACAAGTATTTCATAAGACTACAGTAAAAAATAATAAGTTGTGAGCTTTGCAATAACGTTAATGGAGCAACACATACTAATGTGCATGCATATGTTTTTCTTTCACAAGCACGTTACTCATTGTTGATCCAACTGCTGAAGAAGAAGACTTAGCAACTGGAACAGTAACTATTGTAACTGATGATGAAGGCAGACTCTGTTCTGTCCATAAACCAGGTACTTCCAAGTTTATTACACAGGAACTTATGGAGATGGTAATCTTTTATTGACCTAGATGTTATGTACCTGCTTTTCTTTGTAAAACGGGGTTGCTTTATGATGATGGGCTGCTTGAGTACTTACTGAATAACTTCCTTTTGAAATTAATTTTGAAAAAGATGGCATGACTCAGGTTGTAGGTCCCTTCCAGCTGAAACAGTCTAAGTTCAAAAAAACGTCACAGCTTGAGCTACCTACAGCAAAGGACAGATTTTGAGTGTGTCTCCTGTTACACTTCTAGTTTGTTTCTGTTTTCTTTGCCTGAGGCTGTCTGTGTGAAAGTTGTTGGTCATGTGAAATACTGTATTAATACTCTCATTTGGAAAACACATTTAGAGATACTGAAGTATAAACAGAAAATCAAATTGTTCCCTTTAATTTTTAGGTGGAAGTCCTCTTACAGGAGCTAAGCTTCAGGACTGTATCACCAGAGCAATTACAAGGCAGAAAGAAGTAAAGAAGCTGATAGACAAAGTAGTAAAAAGTATAAAGCCCAAGTGAACAAAACGAGAGATCTTTTCAAAAATGGATTTGTAAAAATTGTATTTGTTACAGTGTTCACAAACCTTTTATACTAAATAAACAAATACCAATACTACATTTACAAAGTTCATTTTTTCTAAAATGTTTTTCACCCTTATACTATGTACAATGCTGCTGAGTGGTAAAAAATACAAGATAAAACGTTCTGTTAAAAAATTAAGTGACTTAAGGAAACCAGGCTCGAGCTGCTTTCTAGATGAAATCTCTAGGTTCTGTAGAGTTGGCTTCCAAAAACAGTTCATTCGTTTCAGTGTAATGGCAAAAGTTCATTTTCTCACCAGTAATGTAAAATACTGATTTGTTTTTAAGTTTGTTTTTAATCTGAAAAAAAAAAAAAAAAATCCCCTCTGAATTGATTTTTTTTTTATTTAGCAGAAGAAAAAAAAAAATAAAAGGCAAGTCTCAGGATTTTGGGGGGGTCGGTGTCCCTCTTTTCCTTTTACTTTTTGAGTGGCTGCCTGAATGCTGTTGACGATGCAGGTGAGCTGCTTGTGCTGCTGCTGCCATAGCCATTTGATGCTGCAAGAATCGCAACTGCTGCCATGAAGGAGAAGGGGGAGAAAAAGCTTGTTAGCATTGACTATAAAGCTGAGTTTCACATCAGGAAGAATGAGAGGAAGGCAAGGGAAAAATGAAAATTAAAAAAATGAGGAAGCACCAGGTTGACAAAAGGAATACACCATGTACAGGGGCAATGAGTACAGTCAAGCAGCACCAGTGGCACAGAAGCCTGCTGAGGGCAGATGTACTTCGACAGCTTTGTTCTTTGCCCTTTCTCTCCAGTGCAGTAACTGCAGTAACTCAGCAACTTCAGTGAGTGTTTGGGTTACACAGTACATTAAGATAATACCTTTTTGGTATATGCATGGTATGTATTGTCTATTTTTATCACAAAGGGGAGACAGCTAAAAAAAACCATTAAAAATATTTTCATAAAGCATCTGAAAGACAGAATGCTAAAAGGAATGCCTTCCCAGAGCTGTTGCTTCCATGGGCTGACTGTAGCTGTGCTACATTTGAACTTACAGGTGCTTACACATTCATGCTCTTTGGAAATCTACTGGCACCTGGCAGAGCTTATTTAGGTATGTGCCACAAGCACTCCTTGAATGTTAGCAAATCAGGAACGTGGATGGCTTAAATGAATAAAAATAAATTCAGTGCTCCAAGCTGAGAGAACAACAGATTTCAAATCCTTCATGATATAGTTTGCCAAAATTAATGCTTCTTTCATTTAAGAGACAATAAAGACATTAGTTTAAAGGGAAAAAAAAGGGGGGGGGGGCCCCCGCAAGATTTTTTGTTTTGGAGCCAAGAATTGTATTTAATTATTTTATTTTTTTTTTTTTTAACCACAGTCAGAGTGAAGTTGCTGGATTACTTGTATCTGTTGCTGCTGCTGCTGCAAGGCTTGTTGCTGTTGTTGTTGTAAGGCAGAAGAGAGCTGGAGTCTCTGCTGAGGAAGGCTTTGCCCAGGTCTGTTCACGGCAGAGCCAAGCTGAGACAACACTAAGAAAGGAGAAGGGGAAAGCAGGCAGGTCAAAGAGGTGAGGTCAAGTTTGTCAGGGTCAGGGAAGGAAGACAGAGGAATAGAGTGTAACAGAAAAGGGGGATCAACAGAATTAGTTTCAGAGTCAAACTCGAAACAGTGCAGAATAAAGTATACATGATATACATACTCTGTTAGTTAGAACATAAGTAGATTATGAAGTGCTTGTGGAGACACAAAGAGGTTTCTCATACTGGATGTTAAGCACACAGTTAAAGAAACATTCCTCAATGAAGTCTGGCATGGAAGTTCCCTGTATTTTCTTTTTATATTGTGTGACTTGTTTTCATGTGGTATTATCAATTTACTACACTTAACTGCCAAACAAAGCAGAAAAGTGCAAGCTTTGGAAGTCCAGTATTTCTTGTATAATTCATGTGCTAATAATAAATAGTAAATTGTTCTGATCTCATGTAAGACTTCTTTAAGACCAAACTTCATTTCAGTGTGAATTTATCAAGATACACACTTGACTAAAAAAGGAGGCTCAGCAAGCACATACCTGTGGCTTGAGGTTGCATAAAGTTCCCTACTCCAGTCAGGTTAATTACAGCAGCTTGTTGGGCAGATAATGCCTGATCTTGATTGGATGGACCTTGGTCAGACCCCTAGCAAAAATGAAAAGCTTGATCCTTATTACCAAACCCTGGTATCCATGAATAAGCAAATAAAGCCAGTGTGAAGGCAAACTTTTGAAGTGCTATTTAAAAACATTCAATTCTACATCTTCCAGTTCATGTAGATACAGGCTATAATGTAGTTACTATTAAAGTAGAACAAACAGATGCTGAATGCCCCAAAACAGCTCCGTTTTGCCAGAAATGGTATTATGCCTATTGCCCAGCAGAAGTCCCATGTCATTACCAACTTCCCTGCAGTCAGCAGAGACTACAGTTCATGGTTGTAATCTTATATTTCCTGTCCCACTCCCAACCCCCAAGTCTTCAGGTGACACCTTAAACCATTCGTGTGCAAAGGTCCTAATGAATCAAAATGTAAAAAGCCTGAAACTTGCATTCACGTGCTCATGTTGTGCCATGTGCTCCTTAATTTTATAGCAAATACAAAACCTGCTTGTAAAATTTTATTTTCATAACAGAATAGTTCTCACAAGCACTGAAATGGAATTAATGGAGTCTGATTTACTGTCTACTGAAGTCAAAGGGTACTGAATTATGACCTTTTCTACAACTGAACTTATGCACTGATTCATAAAGTGGGGAAATACAGTGTTATCTATGCGATTCAAGTAAACTGCATGGCTTACCAGTCAGAAAAAAAAACTCAACAAAAACAAACCACCTTTTGAGCAGGTACATTTCCAGGAGTTGCAATGCTTCTTTAGAATAACCATATGAAATAATGCCACCAAGATCTAGGTAAACTTGACCAAAAGACTGCACATTAAGATGACATCATCATCATCTCGATGAAGACTAAGACTACTAAGACAGACTTACAAAGTCATAGAAGCAACATTTAGGGAAAAACCCCAAGTATGAGACGAGAATGTACATACTCTGCAGAGAAAACTGTTCAGTTTTTTCCCAGCACTTGGATGACAGCACTGTGAACACACACATTCCTGTCCTTAGTGAACTAAGCCAAGGCATCTGGTACCCACAGTAGCTCATTTTAGCTAATGACCCTTGTCTTGCTCTATAATGCGTGGTAAGAGAGAAGCTTCTTAGGGAAGTCAGGCATTGCAGAGAGATTGATTTCCTCCAGAGAACTTTCTGCCACAAGAAGGACTAGGCTTACATCAGCTTTTTTGTAAATCTCCTTAAAGTTCAATGTTGAGAAAATAAAACCCAATAATATGAGCTTGCATAGATTTTTTTTTTTTTTTTTTAGGAATTCAACTAGTAACTGACATTTGGATTCTGAGAATAAATGTGAAAGTGTCCTATGAAACTGTCCCACATTCCAGAACATGGCCTATGACACAGGAGACTATACACCATAAAAACATTTTAAAGAGGCACCTTACTTACGAACAGTCTACAGTAGCACAAGCAAAATTATTATGACAAACTGAGTATCCAGGAGAGACTATTCGATAAACAGAAGTCTTACATGTCTGGGAAGGCAAAAGATACAGAACACAAAAGCAGAGCAGCTCCTTTTCCCCAAACTGCTCCATTAGTGCTGGTAAGGTTTTCAGGCACAGGTAGAACCACCCACTCAAAATTTGTTATTTTAAGAACAGACAGATTGATCTGTACCAAGAGGTTAGACTTCTTCAGTGATTAAAGCCTTTAACACTAATTACAAGCAGCAGCAGAGCAAGTGTTTTAAGATCACAGCTTTAAAGCCAACTGATACTTTCTCTGGTGCAAAGACAACGATTCTGTTGAACTACAGCAGTGAGGATCATAAGCCAACTCACAGCAGTGTAAATAAGTTCTAGTTACTCTAGTAATTCTGGTTCATCTGGTGTTAGCTGCTAGTTAGGACAGCACTAAGCTGATCTTACACCACTCATACAGTAGGCTGGCTCTCTTCATGCTAAAGACAGTGCTTAGCCAGTTGCTTTGTTACAGCTCTTCTACACAGGACATAACTAAAGGAGTATAACACAGCTCCAGCCATGGCAACAAAGCCACTGCAGTGTTTGCAGTCTGAGAAGGTTTTGCAGGAAGTCTCTCCTTCCCTTCTGCCTTTAGATCTGTTTTGTAAAGGCTCATTTACTGGTGGAGATGGGGAGAATAGGAGAAACTGTTTCATCCATGCACCCCAGACTGAGGGCTCTTAACACACACCTGTTCTCCCTGTTGCTGAGGACTACGGGCTGTAGGCTGCTGAGACTGCTGCTGTGAAGAAAACTGTGACAGCTGCTGCTGCTGTTGCTGGAGTGGGTTAAAAATAAGTGAACCACCTGGAAGCTGTTGAAGATTAAAAAACAAAAGGCATAATTCAATCAAACTGATGAGTTTCCCACTGTCCTAGGATGAACATGACACTGATAATGAGGTATTTCTTTGGAGGTTTTGTTTTGTTTTGTTTTTTAATCCTTTAAAATGAATCAGTACACAATTGCTGTTGTTTGTGAAAAAGCCTTATGCTCAGAAAACAAACCTGCCTCAAATTACAGTGAGATATTTCCACAGGAAATACATTTTTATTATTCTAATTAAAAATGGAGATTGAGGTGATACTGGAAATGTAAAGGCTAGTCTTCAAAAGCACTGTGTATTATTTTCACTTTCAGAATATTCCACTGAATTTTAATTGATGCTTCTAATCCAAGCTGCAAGGTCTGATGCCAAAAAAATGTTAAACAGTCTCGATTCCTCTTCCTTACCCCAGCTTTAATTGCACTGATTTCAGACAAATTATTCTTGGCTTATACAAGTGGCAGAGGTAGCCTGAAAGGATGTACTTCCACATGGAATCACACAAATACAAGCATTACATTTTATAGAAGAGCTCTACTCTGGCATAACTGCCTCCTGGGCCTGCACTTTTCCATGTTTCTGGAGTGGGAGGAGGAAGCAGCAGAGCTACAGCTCATCTTTTACATTTTTGAAGCATGGTGCAACATTTGTGGAACACTGAAGCTGCACTTTGCACCTGTAACCTGTATCTGACTTCAAGATCCAGGAACTACAACCAGTTCCACAAACACTCCCTGTTCTGCTTTTAGATGGAGCTCTGATATAATAAGCAACTTTAGCTCATGTTTGTATTTGTAGGTATGCTTAGCAGAAAGAAAACATTTACAGACCACCTAAACCCCCTATCTTAGATCAAATTCTATTTCCATTACCAGAAGCTCTTTAAAGCTATTACTGCACCTACCTGTGAATGTTCAGCTCAGCCTTTAGGCCTTGTATGTGTAACCCCGAGTGATTCTACCGTAATGATTTGTACTTTCAAAATAAACATAACTTCAGTTTAAAGAATGATTTGCAATAAAAGCTTAGGCAAATCCCAAAAATTTAAGATTGTATTTTAAGATTAATCTCTTGAATTCAAATGTCAGCATTTTTAGATTGTTACTGAGAACAGCTGCTTTGTTGTGTGCTAAGAATATAATTTCCACCCGGTATTTTTATAGCAGTAGCTTTTTTTTCTCTCATTCTAAGTGTTTTAAATAAGTAATTAAAATTTGCAGTAAATGGTTTGTTTGATCAACTGGCTTCAAAGATCTGCGGGGGGGCAATGCAGTAAGAAGCAGCACTAAACATGCCTCTAAAGAAAATCAAGAAATTATCATTATTATTGTGTCCAAATATATCAATTACCTGTAGAAGATTTAAGGGCCGAAGATTTGATGCATTTTTCAAACCAAAGGGGCTGCCTGTTAAAGAAAACATCTTTTTATTAGTAGGAAGTCTTTACTTATTTATACATGTGTATTGCAATTAATACACCTTTCCCCTGGGATAATTTCTAAACATTTGGAAGTTGGAAAACTGGCAAGTTTAAATTTTACACTTAACACAATGCTGCATTTTCTGTAATGTTGATAAGTTCATAGTTATCCAGATTCAAAGTCAAAGAGAGCTGAGTAAAGAGAAAGAAAACTGTATCGCTACTAAACACTGTACCCCATAACCTATAACCTGCTAATGCCTTAAAGGTAAGTGTGGAGAATATCATAGTAGTTATTCTTCAGTGATTCTTCTGGCTTTAAAAAGTTTTACTGTTTGTAGAGTAAATCCAGAAATGTCCAAGGGCTCAATCAAGTAACAGGCTGTCAGCTTCTCAATCATTAACAGAAAATAATACCACCCAAAATCTTAGCAACTGTCTTCCCTGTCAAGGGCTTCTGGCAAGATTTATCTGATTTGTAGAACTTTCAGTATTATTTCACATGCCACTCTTCAAAGCTATGCTTAAAAAATAAAAAAAATAATTAAAAAAGATGTATCTGTAGTATGCTATGAGTTGGGTATAGAAGGGCTACAAATGCTCCAGTAAAACAGCGGCTGTCAAACAGAATCCCCCAGAAGTCTGCCACTGACCTAGCCCAGCTCACTACTACCATCTGTTATGTGGGTGACAACATAGCACATAAAAGTCTGTGACACCAAACTGATAAAGGTTGATAGTGCTTGAAAGGACAGAATTAGAATAAAAGTGATCCTAAGGAATTGAAGAAAGGGTCCAAAAATCAGTAACACTGAATTAAAAAAACCACAAATGAACAAGTACAAAGTTGTGAGGAAGTAGCTTTGTGTCTATACAGCAAGAAAGGATGTGAGAAGTTACAGCAAGTCACAAGCAGATACAAATCATCCATACCACAAACTACAGAACACACAGAACCACCTCTTCACACATTTTACATTTATAAAACTCACTGTCACAAGATGCCGTCGATGCCAAAAATATAAATGGGTTCAAAAAACAGTTAGATAAATCCACAGACTACAAGTCTAACACAGAATATTAAGCACAAAGATCCATGTGGAGAGTCTTCAGCTGAGAAAGTCTCAAAGCTGCAGACTGCCAGAAGAGGTACAGTTGTATACAAGGGATGTTTCACTTCACACTTTTACCTTGTCTTAAACTCTTTCCTAAGTATCCTCTAATGGCAACTGTCAGAGACAGAATATAAACTGGACAGATTTTTGGTCTAAACCAATAAAGCTGTTCTTATGTTCATGTAATGCTGTTGTGAAAATGCTGTTGCAAAAAATACAAATAAAAAATAGGCAGACCTCACTTGAGGAAATGTTAACAGGAATGTTGTGAAAGAGATGAGATGCATTTATTCTGCTCTGCTCCACAGTGGTAAATCAGCCAAGCTCAGGCTTGTGTCCAGTTTTGGTTATCACATTTTAAGAAGCATGTAAGCAAATTGGACAGTCTAGAAGAGAGTGACAGGATTATGAAAGGTTTGAAAAATACGACCTATCAGAAAGGGAAGACAAATGTGGGACATGACAGCATGTTTGATACTTAGAAGGTAAAGAGAAACAGTGAACAATATTTTTCATATCTGCAAGGAACAGGAAAAAAAAAAAAAGAAATTAATTTGCAATTAAGGAGATGCACTGCAATTAGAAGGAAATATTTTGTATGGATAATGAACTACTCCAAATAGATACTGAGGGAGACTGGAATCTTCTTCACTGAACTTATTTAGAGTCAGTTTAGATAAGCATTGGTTCAGTATGGTTTAGACAGATTTGACTCTGCCTTAACTGTAAGGGATGGGTATCTTGAAGTCTCTTCTATACTTCTGATTCTGTAATCATACATTAGGGGTTTTTTGTCTTTATTATTTTTTCAGAAAAAAACCCTTAAGAATTTAAATGTTACTTTAATGAATAGTGAGGCATACAAATTTACATAGTCCTATTTGAAGGCAATAAGAAACTAATTCATTGCCCTACTAGAATAAAGCAGTAGCAGTAATAGAATGAAATGCCTCTCCCATTTAAAAAGTGATGCCTCCTTCTAAGTTCAGTCATGCCTTTTTTCTGGTAGTTATCATAATCAATGTTGCATTTGAATTTGGAATTTCTCTCAAACTTCCTACTGAGCATACAAAACAATCCAGGTTTTGGAGTACATTTCCCCAGTCTAACTCTTCAAAATCAATTTCAAACAATCTCAAAGGTAGCCTGCGCTTCCAATGCAAAAATATGTACGTTGTTCCTGAGCTCCAGCCATCAAACACACAATCTGTTCACACAATGGCCACTTTTGCCCACTGTTCTCACAATATGTTTTCGTACTGTCCCTATCTGAAAAGTGGCTTTTCAACTTATTTAGACTAACCTGCTTGAGAGGCAGACTGCATTGCAGCGGGCAGCGCACTTGGTACCAGACCTCCTGATGGTAAAATGCCACTCAGATTTATACCTGCAGGGGCTATGGCACCAGTGTTGCACCCCAACATAGGGTTTGAACCACTCATCAGTGTCTGTGCTCCACTGTAGAAGAGGAAAGACAACACATGAAACCCACGTGGTACAAGCAAATCTAAGTAACTAAATTTTTGTCCTCTGTCTCATGACAAGTAAATAAATTGTTTGCTGTAAATAGGGTTATGGATGAAGCATCAAGGCAGCTTAAAAATCATTATGCCTAGGGTGGTATAACAAATACATAAATTCCTATTCTTGGCATATAATTTTTTTTTTCTTTAGTATAACTATGGAAAAAACCCACAAGTGGTTCTATTATTCTAGAAATCCTGAAAGATCAACAGTCTTCAAAATAGTTGTCTGCCATAAGAAAAAGTTAAAGAACAGGTATGTGTTTTCTTTTTGCACCATGAAAAAAAACACCCCTCTAATTAATCAACAGTAATTGGAGTCCCCATTCCTGGAGGTATTTAAGAGTCATCTAGACATAGTGCTCAGGGACATAGATAAGTGGGGGACTTGTCAGTGTCGGGTTAATGACTAGACTTGATGATCTTAAAGGTCTTTTCCAATCGAGGCAATTCTGTGTGATATTGTGAACAGTGATCAACTGCTGAACACCTTGGATGAGTAATGCAAGTGTCTGATACTTGCACTGAAGCACACTTATACTGATCACAGAATTCCATTTAGCCAACAAGGCAGTTCACATTATACCATACAATCTATTCTTGACAGCAACATTTATTATTTTTTTAAAACTACAAAAAGTGTTTTAAGGATCAAAGAATGTTTAACCTCAATGTTTGATTAAATTGTTAGAAAAGTTGTTGTTTTCTTGTATTTTACATACAATCTTTCATTCATAGGCACTTTAATATCAAACATCTTTTCACTTTTTGAGTGATCTGCATATGATATCCACCTCCTCTCTGATTAATAAAAAAAGTTTTCAAACTTAAAAGAGCAAAACCACTTAAATTGAGATTAAGCCTTATGAAATTCATCTATATGCATCCAAAAAGCTGAAAGCAAAATTTTCTTAACAGACTTTTTCAATATATGGATAGTAGGTGCCTTATATTTGAGAAATACAAGTAGTTTCTAGTGGCTCCTCACTCTGTAGTTACAAAGTGAATGATCTTTTTGTATTGCAGATCCTGAAAAATATCTATCCTAACGGATGCTGGACAGTCCTGTACCACTTCCCACCCTCCCACCTCACCACCCCAACAACCAACCCACCCAGGGCAAATTAAGAAACCATCATAACAAAAAACTTACCACACAGAGCCCACTACATTGATGAAGTTAAGTCCTGCAGGGTTTGCCATGACCTGGGTGGAGGTTGTTCCTGTAGTAATGGATGTTACCATGGTGGAAAGAGGAATGGTCATTACAGGCAGTGCCTGGCTCAGAGACATTTGCTGCTGAGCAAACGGGGTTAACAAAGTGGGCTGAGGGGTGAAGCCTGAATCTTGGGGAGTAGGGGTGGCAGAAGGGGTAATAGGAGTTGAGCTCTGAGCATCAGGAGGGTGTGGGGTCGATGAAGGGGTGTTGGTTGGAGTAGGAGTAGATGGTTTAGGAGTTCCAGACCCTGCTCATTGAGAAAAATAAAAAGTGCTAGTTTGTTATAAAAGGCCAGTCCTTTTTGTATAATAAGGTTAATGGAATCTTATTTATCACTGACAATTTGTTCTGTTTTTTAGACTGCAAGTGTTAATTTCTACACGAGTGTTGCAGCACACATTCATTGTTAAGGATGCAGTATAATCACACAGAAAACCCATTCTCCATGCTTAATTTCTTAAGCCATACACAGTTTTGTATCCTCCATTAAGTCCTTCCATAAAGTAAGTCATAACTCCATTCAGAAATACTTAAATCAAAATAAAACAATTTCTTAGGGACCATTTTAACCTAATTAATGTTTTTGTCCTAAAACGTTAAACACATAGTTGATATGCACTGCCTGCACAATAGCATTGTGTTAAACATATATCATGGAAAACAACAGATTCAACAAAAAACATGTACTATTTTAATAATCATGGGGTGGATCTAAATTTCATCAGATAGCTAAACTCCCATTTGCCATGTTTTGATCAAATAAAAATAATTTTTTAATTTTTAAGAACCAGAGGATAATACTGCATCTTTAAAAGTTATTGTGCAATTCCTTCTGCTTAAATGTAGCATGTATAGCTATATTTGTTGTGGATGCAGCAAGCACAGTTTATCAATAGAAAAGCAAAACAAAAAACCCCAAAAGCTTGAGGTGTTTTTTTGTGTTTGTTTTTTTTTTTTTAGCTTTCATGTCCTGCAGAAAGAAAGGAAATAAATGTGAACATCCAGCTGTTGTGCCCAGAGCATTAAAGTAACAACTGCGTGAAGTGGATTTACACAATTCGTAGCACTAACATAAAAACTGAGTAAATATGTTAGAAGAAAACTTCTCTGAGTTTTCTCTTTTTCTTTGTGCAAAACAAGAAGGCAGAAAATTTACACCTTTTGAGCTACCCAGATTTTAAATTATTTAATGCAAAAAAGCATATTATGATACTGTGCAGGATACTGGAATGTGCAGTACACAATTACTCATAAAAACCTGAAAAGCTGCAGCTATGATTTCTCTTTGTACAAATCCGTTCATGAAATGTCTCAAGACGCATACATGTTTTAAAAACTGTTTATGATCTAGAGCTATGATTACAGTGATTCTGCCTGTGTTAATGGAAGTACTTAAACTAGGATGCCACTTATTGAAATTTACATTTTAACACCTGAGAATATGGTGCTCTCATCATCAGCATCACCACCACACTTGCAATCAGCAATGATTTGTAAAACAGTGTAGGAGTGTTTTAAAAAATCATCTTATCGTTTATTGTATCACCACCTTGGGACTGATCAGATTATATACATACACAGAGATACAACTGCATCAGCTCCTATAACATTTAAAAAACCAGGTGCTTAAATTATGTAAAGGCAAGCTGATCTAACATACTGTTTTTACACTGGAGGGAAAAAAAAAAAAAATCTACACTTTGGAATTTTATCTCATCACATCATCTACCAGCCTTTCATAAATGAGGCGATCATACTAATTGCATAAAGTGTATTAAAACGTATACACAAAGGGTGCATACATATATACAGAAAAAACGAACACAGTTACAATAAACATAAAATACATACAGTGAACAAGAGACCTGCCTAAAGCTGCACAACTTATACAATTCAGGGTACACTGTACACTTAAAGTTTCATCATTCCACAGGTTAAGAAGTTTATCTCAGGAAGCATTTATGCAAAAGCCTAAGATTTAATGGAGAATTTAGGTCGTGACTCACTTTGTGAAGAGCTCGCAGGAGACATGGCAGCTGGAGAGAGCATGCTAACTTGATTAAGATCCATAGATTGTTTCCGAGAAAGACCAGGAGGCTTAGAAGGAGGAGGAGGAGGAGTTGGGGATTTTAGATGGCCACTTGACTGTTGTGGACTAAAAATACTACCTGGGAAAGCATAATTAAAATACATTATTGTTCTGTGAGTATATGTTAACTCGAATATTTGTTAGGATATGGTTTTTAGAACAACAATCAAAAATCAACAAAATTATGCTCTTTTCCTAGATAAGATTCTGATTTTTTTTTTTATATTAAATCTTTACTAAAGGGATATCTTGTAATTTTACAAAAGACAGAACACATAAAAGGAGATGCCCAAGTCAGTAAATAATTACCTGAAGAGCTACTTCCTGAACTTGAAGGTAATTTGATGGGAGGAGGTCGGTGTTTTACACCTTTCCCCAATACTGAAGACTGAACAGAGCCTGATATACTTTCTGGCTGCTAGGAGGAAAGAGAAATTAACACTACCACAGCAATAATGTGAGCTTCCACATACTTGACAGAAAAGATAATTCAATTAATTTGTATTAGACTTCCCAAAACCATGACAAAATTCCCTTCAAACATTTCAGACTTTTATTTAAAAACCATAACCTATGACAGACTCTTGCATCAAGTAGCTTCAAAGTGCCAGTAAAATTTAAACTGAGTAAAAAAAAAAAAAAAATAGACTAAATTCATAATCCCAAGAGCTGACACTGTCAAAAGATTCCACAGTGAAACAAATTTACAGTTATAGTCTATATATTTTTGCCTATAAAGCAGGTATCCCATAAATGAAAGTAGTGTCTAAACAAACACACAATTAAAAAAACTGATGAAACTAGAAAGCGAGGCTCTCTATGCCGAATGGAACGTTTCGGTGCTGAAGCCAAAATAAGATGTGCATGGGCTAAAAAATCAGAACATCCACCACCGTGAAGAATCAACTTTTTTGGATAGCATAGCTTCTGCTGATTCCCAGTAGTAAGAGACAGTCCCTCTACATGTTTGTAATTGCTTGCTTATAAAAAAAGAATCTTTTGAGGAAAGTTTCAAGGATTACATTTCTATTATTATAAACTGCTTTCTTAATTCTGAAAATAAAGATTAATGCCCCATTCAAAAGAGGGCTTGATCATTAAGTAAAAGTAACCTCAGTAACTTTGGTCCAGCTTTTGGTGGGGGCTGGGACAGCCAGACAAGATGACTTCCAGAAGTACCCTCTCACCTTATTCTATTTTTATATATATATATATATA